ATTCCGGTGAATAATGTCACTAAAATCATCAAAATACCGATTATCGAGAGGTTCCGTTATATAGGGGTTATACGAAGACGTGGATCTGCACAGACAATTCTCTGGCATAGGCTGTTGTATCTATTACGAACTTCAAATACGAAATTTGAAATTGTTCCAGAGAAAATACCTCCACTATACCATGGTGGAGGGTATAAAAATCTCTAAACAACACCTTAGTTATATATATTCCTATATTCTTGGATTTTGAGACTTATTTATTTAATTTGTGTAAAACAATGACGTGTAATTCAAGGCTGCCGTGCCCCGAACATTGACTTTCATTTCGACATAAGGGCTGCGCATACTGCCCGACGAAATGCTACAGGCCACATTTGGCGTCGACACTACAAACATTGTCTCAACATATTGTATGCTCTTGCCCTGGGAACTTGTGTCACAGCTGGCAGTCAATTCTAAATTCTGGTCAGTTGGCCAGTCATTTGAACTTGTTGCATAACAACCAATTGGTCCTAAAATAAAAAAATCGACGTTGAAACAAAAATCTATTTTTTTTTTTTTTTTTAATTTTTTATACCGTACACACATAACTGTATAGAGTCTTTCCCGATTCGATAACTTCCGTTGATAATAGTTTCAGGGAAGTTTGTTTTCTGGTGTCCACTGAAGTAGCTTTCAATGAGAATTCCGCCTGTGTGGAATAAAACATAGCCAAGACAATTAGAATTGCTATGGGATTTTTTGAAACCATATTTTTGTTTTCAATTCTATTCGGTTCCGCTATAAACTTAAAACTGTTGAATTCATGTCCAAAACAATTTGTTTTTATAGATTGTGAAAATACTTGAAATTTAATAGATTTTTGTTATCACCAACGAAGGCACTTTCAGTGGAACTTGCATTTTTATCTTGTCACAATTAAACGATTATGAGACTACCGACTAAGGAGATTAAGCAAACGACCACAACAAAGGTTCCAATGGGTATAGATTCTCAGGGCGTGGATCTACCAACAATGGAAAAGAAACAAAACTACTAAATATGGCGAGATAGGGAAATAATCGAACTTTTCTGATACTAACTACAGAAAAAATATGTAAAAGCTCTGAGAAGGGAAATGTAAATCCATTATCGTGGACCTGTTAAGGCTATCTATGTTAGGGATTTTAATGATATTGTTAATTTTTTAGCCCTGTAATTACATTGGTTTCTAAAAATTAAAAAATTAATTCTAAAAATGGGTTATGTAGGTCCACGTTTTCATATAGCCCCCATATAAAGGTACCTCCCGATATTCGGTATTTCGATGATTTTAGCGACATTATTCACCGGAATTGTTTAAAATTTGATATTTGAAGTTCGTTATGGATACTACAGCCTACGACAGAAAATTGTCTGTACAGGTCTACGTCTTCCTATAGCCCCCATATATAAAGGTACCTCCCGATATTCTATATTGTGATGATTTTAGCGACATTATTCGCCGGAATTGTTTCGAATTTGGTATTTGAAGTTCGTAACGGATACTACAGCCTAAGACAGAAAATTGTCTGTGCAGGTCTACGTCTTCGTATAACCCCCATATAACTGTACCTCCCTATATTCGGTATTTTGATGATTTTAGTGACATTATTCACCGGAATTGTTTAAAATTTGATATTTTAATTTCCAAAAGGATAGTACAGCCTAAGACTGAAAAATTACTGTGCAGGTTCACGTCTTCGTATAGCCCTCATATAACGGTACCTCCCGATATTCGGTATGTTGATGATTTTAGCGACATTATTCACCGAAATTGTTTCGAATTTGGTATTTGAAGTTGGTAATGGGATCTACAGTCTGTGACAGAAAATTGTCTGTGCAGGTCCAAGTCTTCGTATAGCCCCCATATATCAGTACCTCTCTATATTCGGTATTTCAATGATTTTAGCGACATTATTCACCGGAATTGTTTCAAATTTGGTATTTGAAGTTCGTAATGGATACCACAGCCTATGACAGAAAATTGTCTGTGCAGGTCTACGTCTTCGTATAGGCCCCATATATCAGTACCTCCCTATATTCGGTATTTTGACGAGTTTAGCTACAATACCCACCGAAATGGTTTGAGACGCGTATTTGAAGTTCGTAATGGATGCTACAGCCTATGGCAGAAAATTGTATATGATGGTTCAGGTCTTCGCATAGCTCCGATATAACGGTACCACCCTATATACGCAGTTTTGATGATTTTAGCTACATTATTCACCGTTTATTTCAAGTTTCGAATTTGAATATGGTAATGGCTTATGACAAACAATGCCTTTGTAGGTCCACGTCGTATAGACCCCAATAAAACGGCTATATTCTGTATTTTTAAAATTTTAACAGAATTTTTTATAGATTTTATTTTTTGAAAATTTCCAAATTCATTCCAAATGGTGGAGGGTATTCAAAGTTCGGCCCGGCCGAACTTACTGTTTTTTAACTTTTTTTTTAATGTTATTGAATGAAAGCAAAACATATCGGAAATAACATCAAATTTTAAAATAAGTTTAGATTTGTTCGAATTGGTCACCTTTGGCACGAATTATGGCCTTCAAATGGCCAATGAAACCGTCACACGCTTCCCGAATGTTGCTCTGTGGTATTTTGGCCCATTCCCGGTGAAGCGCTTGCTTGAGGTGATCGACACGTTGGTATTTTAGTATTTTTAGTGCAAACCTTGTCCAACGGATTGGTATCCAGAGATTTTGTTGGCAATTGCGCGCTGGAAATGAAGCAAGGAACCTCATTTTGTTACCATTCTTGGCTGGCGCATGCTGAGTGCGATGGTGGAATTTCCAAGGTCTGCGGCCAAAATGTTTGCGTGCACAAGGCTTTAATACAGAATCCAGAATATTTTCTCGAAAATATTCGGCAATTATTCTGATGCCACGGTCGATTAATACGAGCGGAGAGCGGCCATCGGCTGTTATGGCGTCCAACACCATCACCAGGGCCGGCGCTTGAGTTCAGATGACGCACATTTTCAGCTGACCTCTTTGGCAAGTAAACACGATCATTTTGTTTCTTTGCAAACTGCTGTTCAACGAATGTTTTCTCACCGGAGAAAAAGCAATTCGGCTGTTCACGACTTTCGGTCAAGCGAAGCAACTCTTTAGCTCTTTTGAGTCTATTTTCTTTCTGTTACGGTGTACGTTCTTGCACTTTTTGCAATTTCAATGGCTTTAGCCCCGAGCTAATTTTTCAATATTTGCCGTATGGAATATTGCGATATGTTCAGCTTACGAGCTATTTTTCGGCCACTGCGACGCGGGTTTCGATCAAGTCGCTTTTTTACTTTTCGAACCATTTCTGCTGATATTGCTGTTTTCTTCTGTCCACTTTCTTGACGTCGGGCTACGCTAACAGTATCACGGTAACGAGCGATGATATGAGACACAAAAGATTTATTCGCATTTAAGTACTGGAGTGCTCTAACGATAGCCACTTTTGGTTTGGCCAAATATAAATAAATCACACTATCACGCTTGAATTCTGTCACGAATAACTTTTATTTCTGGATTATTCTCACCAAAATGCTTTTCTACCCTGGTAAACAATATAATGAGCTGTCATAATTTATTGTGATCCGATTTTCAACCCATTGGGGGTTTTGAGTAACCTACATCCATAATATGTTCTCCTTGACAATTATGTTTGACCGACATCAGATACTGCTCATAAATAAGCGTTTAATATTTTGTTAAGATCGGTTCACATTCTGATATAGTTCTCATACTGATATTGGATACTACAGCCTAAGACAGAAAATTGTCTGTGCAGGTCCAGGTCTTCGTATAGCCCTCATATAACGGTTCCTCCTGATATTCGGTACTTTGATGATTTTGGCTACATTATTCACCGGAATTGTTTAAAATTTGGTATTTGAAGTTCGTAATGGATACTACAACCTATGACAGAAGATTGCCTGGGCAGGTCCAGGTCTTCGCAAAGGCCCCATATAACGGTACCTCCCGATATTCGGTATTTTGATGCTTTTAGTTACATTGTTCAAATCGCACATACTCACAGTGATCATAATACCCATAATTCACATTCCACATTACATTCTATAGCTTAGTACCATTTAGTACATGTCGTACACTATATGCTACATATTTGCAAATCCACTTCCTTAACTAAACGCTTTGCCATAATACCAACATTTATAATTTTGCTTCAATCCCTACGCACTATGCCAAATTTAGTACAATTTAGTACTTTTCGTACACTTATTGTATGCATTTCAAAAATCACCTCCATACATCAGACAACAATATTGATTCCAAGTTTTTATCTCTACCCGCAAAAAAAATCATTATGGTACCAAATAAGTAGGTTTTAGTACTTTTCGTCCACTCAAAATTCAAATTTTGGAAAAAAAGGCTTTGGCACATCTATGCTATACTCCACCACGCCAAATTTTAAAATTCTAGTTGCATCCTTTTCGCCCTATACTAATGATAAACATCAACCTTTTAGTACTTTCCGTACCGATGTTTTTCCCTGCGCCTTTTAATCACAAACAGACCTACGTACAATTTGAGTTTTAGAATCTCCCAATCGCTCAGTATTGGGGGTACCATAAGTAGTACCTTTTCGTACCTTTTAGTACTTTCCGTACCGATGTTTTTCCCTGCACCTTTTTATCACAGGCAAACATACGAATTTACAAAAATTTAGAGTTATAGAATCCTCCAATCGCTCAGTATTAAGGGTTCCATAAGTAGTACATGTTCGTACCTCTCTGGTATAAATTTTCAAGATCCTAACACCAGCCGTTTTTACCCTGAGCGTTGCTGAATCTGTCAGTCAGTCAGTAAATTAGTGAACTCATCTTTTCAATTATTATTTTAGGAAATTTAGAGCTTTTGTGTGACGTGCCCGAAGCAGTGAACAATATGGTCCAAACTTATTAAGGACATACCATAATTCCGTGGAGTGCTCTGTTTAATATCCCGTTAACATATCTCACATTGTATGCTGCAAATTTTTACATTTTATTTTAATTACATCTACTTTTTACTAAATATAAAACAAGGAAGAATATTCCAAATAATTTGTTCCCGCAGCATAAACTTTTACTTCAATGGAACTGGTACCAATGCTGCCGGCTGAAACGTTGCAGCCCACATTTTGTGTGGAAACAACAAAATGTACCTCGACATAGGTGATAATTCTACCGACATTGCTTTTGTCGCAGCTGACAGTCAATTCCACATTTTGTTCACTGGGCCAGGCCACGGAATCGGAACCAGCACATCCCAGAGAATCTGTATTCGAAACTATAAAATTGAATTCATATTCTTTTAATGGTTTTATGAACATACCAGTTTTAATTTGTCCCACTGTGCACACAAAACCATAGAGGGTGTCTCCAGATTTTGTTTTCTGAACTGACTTCAATTCCTTGAGAACTGGTGCTTCGTTTGCATTAACAGGGGAGACCTTTAAATGTTTTACAGCTGTCTCCTCTAGGGATTTTCCAGGATTGACATTCAAAACAACTCCGGCCTGTAAACTGGTGAGGCATCCCAAAAGACCCAGAATTACTAACTGCTTGGTGGAGGAGAACATGTTGATGTATGGAGGTCTAGATTTGAAGACTGTTTGAAATGACAATAAAATCGTTGCCTTTATATATACCTCTAATTTTCTTCGTAAAGCACAATTATCATTTCCGTATTAAATATGATATGTTTCGAAGAAATGGATGTTAATCTCCTATTTGGAAAATTCTTTGGAAATTGCATTCTTATCTGAATTTCGAGGTTCTTTTTGAAGTATCTACATTGACCAATATGGTAAAGTTATAAGTAAACACAATAGGAAAACCAATGGGTTCGACTTTGTATAACGTTTATCAACAAATTAATAAATTTACTTGGGGACCGGCAGCGAAAAGTTCAACCATTGGTTTAACAAAATTTTTTAATCAAAACTTCGTACATCGCAATAACTTTTCAGACTTTCAAGGTTTTATATATTACTCACGTTTTTCCTTGAAACAATTCCAAGAAAAGAATAATAGGAAAATGTTTACCAAAGGGTCTCCAAAATCTTTAATTCTGGAATTTACCGAAAAGGATATTAGAAAAAAACCATTGGGCCCACATCCAATTTTTCAGACCCTAAACGTATGATAACATCTCCATATGTATGTGAACCTGAACTTCAATATCTAATTTCCGAATTTCAGTTTTCTAGACACCAAAAGTACCATTTACGCAACTAGTACTAGTACACTTAATACTTCTTGAACAATTAGAGTACACATTTCCAAAACCACCTCCATATCTTAACCACCGCAGACACCAAAAGAGATTTCTGTATTAAATTTAGGAATGGTAGCTCGATTCCTTCAGGTAATACCAAAATTTAGTACCAGCCTAGACCTCAATACCAGATTTCGGGATTCCAAATCTATCCCTTAACACAATTCCCGAATTAGTACCACCTAGTACTTTTCGTACAATTATGGTACATATCTCTATAACTGCCTCCACATCTCAATTCAAAATACCAACGGCGACCTCAACATCAAATTTGAGGATTTAAGGCCTATCTCGACAACCAATACCAAACTTAGTACTATTTACCACTTTTCGTACACATTTCCGGAACTGTCTCCATATCTCAATTCCAGATACCAACAGAGATCTCAATTTCAAATTTGAGGATTTCAAACCCATTCCTTCACCCAATACTAAATTTAGTACCGATACCAAATTTAGTACCAATACCAAATTTAGTACCAATACCAAATTTAGTACCAATTAGCACAAACATAGGACGCGTTTCCAAACAATCTCAAAATCTCAAACACAGATTTCTCAAACCATCAGCAATCGAAATTTTAAATTTCTAAATTGTATCTTCATTGACAAATATAGTACCATTTGGTACTTTTCGTACAATTGTCGAAATTTCGAAACCACTCCCAGGCTACACGTTAACAATGACCACAAAACAAAATTTCAGATTTCAAGCACTATCACCCACCCAATTGTACCAAATATTGTACTATTTAGTACTTTCCGTACACCTTTAGTACACATTTACAAAACCAACTCTTTAACAGCAAAATGGACCCCAATAAACATTTTTAAAATGTCCGCTTCATCCGTTCACCAAAACCAAAGTGTTCCAAATTTAGTACCATTTAGTACACTTCGCACACAATTTGCAGACATTTCCAAAATCACCTGCATGTATCAAACTTTTTTCCAACCTTAATTCTAAATTGTTAGCGCTTATTTTTTTAGCTCTATCCGTCCACATAGTCTACCAAATGATAACATGTTAGAAGTTTAGTAATATTTTAGAACCTCTCCTAAATTTAAATTTCGAATTTCCAATAACCCTTTGTAATTCCAGCTCCATCGGTTCATTCCAATTCCAATTTGTACCAAATTTTGGTACCATTTAGAAAACAAAGTTCGAATTTCCAATTTTCAGCATTCCAGCTCTATCACTTCACTCAAATCGAAGTTGTACCGAAGTTAGTATAAATTTAGAAAACTACCTCCATATCACAATCCTAGACTCCGTCTGTAATCTCAATTACAAATTTCACAATTCCAGCTCCATACGTTCTCCGAAATTCGAACTGTACCAAATTTAGTACCGTTTTGTACTTTTCGTATACATGAGTTCACACTTCCGAACTACCTAATTACATCGACCCCTTAACCTTGATTTCCATTCCAAATTCAAGCTTTTTATTCTGTCCGTACCAAATATAGTACATTGTAGTACTTTTCCAACACTTCTAATCCGAATTTCAAAAAAAAAAACTCTAAAATTTAAGAGTTTTAGCTATACTGGTCTGTCAAAAACAAAGGGTACATATTATGTACCTCTTAGTAGTTTTCGTACCGTTCTGGTGCGAATTTCAAAAAACCCAGCCTTATCTGATATCTCTAGACTAAGAACAACCCCCATCCAAAATTTCAAGATTCTAGCTTCAGCCGTTTCATCTGGACGTTGATGAATCGTTAAGTCAGTTAATTTCTTCACTTTTCATTAACAGGGTTAGATGAAAAAACTGCAACTAACTTCAGATTTGTTCGAATTGGTCACCTTTGGCACGAATTATGACCTTCAAACGGCCAATGAAACCGCCATACGCTGAACGAATGTTGCTCTGTGGTATTTTGGCCCATTCTCGGCGAAGTGCTTGTATGAGGTGATCGACACTTTGGTATTTTTTAGTGCCAACCTTGCAATCCAAAATACTCCAGACACAATAGTCCAAAGGATTGGTATCCGGAGATTTAGGTAGCTATTGTGCGCTGGAAATGAAGCAACGAACCTCATTTTGTAACCATTCTTGGGTGGCACTTGCTGAGTGCGATGGTGCTGAGTCCTGTTGGAATGTCCAAGCTCGCAACCAAAATGTTTGCGTGCCCACGGCTTTAATATTTTCGCGAAAAAATTCTGCATTTATTCTGAGTCCACAGTCAATTAATACAAGCGGAGAACGACCATCGGCCGGCGCTTGAGTTCTCGTGGCCAACCAAAGGTGCACATTTTCAGCTGACCTCTTTGGCAAGTAAACACGATCATTTTGTTTGTTCGCAAACTGCTGGACAACGAATGTTTTCTCATCGGAGAAAACCAAATTCGGCAGTTCACCACTTTCGGCCAAGCGAAGCAACACTATAGCTCTTTTGTGTCTATTTTCTTTCTATTGCTATGCAAGTTCTTGCATTTTTGGAATTTCAATGGCTTTCCCCCGAGCTTACTTCTCTATTTTTGCCGAATGGAATATTGCGATATTTTCAGCTCACAAGCCATTTTTCGGTCACTGCGACGTGGATTTCGATCAAATCGCTTTTTTACTTTTCGAACCATTTCTGCTGATGTTGCTGTTTTCTTCCGTTAATTTCCGTGACGTCGGGCTACGCTACCAGTATCACCGTAACGAGCGATGATACGAGACACAAAAGATTTATTCACATTTAAATGCTGGAGTGCTCTAACGATAGCCACTTGTGGTTTTCCAGCCAAATATAAAGAAATCACACTATCACGCTTGAATTCCATCCCGAATAACTTTTTTTTCTGGAAAATTCTCACCAAAATGCTTTTGTACGCTTGTAGACAATATAATGAGCTGTTATTGGAATAATTTTCACAGCTGTCGGACGAGTGGCTTAGAAATGGCAGCAGCAATCTGAAGTTGGTTGCAGTTTTTATCATCTCACCCTGTAGGTATACATAAGTCTTTTTTATAGTTCTCTCACTTCGTACCAGACATTTTCCTAGGAAAAATCCCGATAAGATTAAGAGACCAGTCCTGTAGTTTCTATACTAGCACTTTCTTTCACGCCATTGGTCAATGCAGATATTCAAAATCAAACAACAAATGTGCGATAAGAATGCAATTTTCGGAGAATTTTTAAATAGGCGATTAACATTGATTTCTTTGAACGATTCATTGTCAGAAAACTATATAAAAGGTAACTCTTTTACCTTCCTTTCAAACAGTCTTCAAATCTAGGCCTCCAAACATAAACATGTTCTCCGCCAAGCAGTTAGTAATTCTGGGTCTTTTGGGATGCCTCTCCACATTACAGGCCGGTGTTGTTTTGAATGTCAATCCTGGAAAATCCCTAGAGGAGACAGCTGTAAAACATTTAAAGGTCTCCCCTGTTAATGCAAACGAAGCACCAGTTCTCAAGGAATTGAAGTCAGTTCAGAAAACAAAATCTGGAGACACCCTCTATGGTTTTGTGTGCACAGTGGGACAAATTAAAACTGGTATGTTCATAAAACCATTAAAAGAATATGAATTCAATTTTATAGTTTCGAATACAGATTCTCTGGGATGTGCTGGTTCCGATTCCGTGGCCTGGCCCAGTGAACAAAATGTGGAATTGACTGTCAGCTGCGACAAAAGCAATGTCGGTAGAATTATCACCTATGTCGAGGTACATTTTGTTGTTTCCACACAAAATGTGGGCTGCAACGTTTCTGCCGGCAGCATTGGTACCAGTTACATTGAAGTAAAAGTTTATGCTGCGGGAACAAATTATTTGGAATATTCTTCCTTGTTTTATATTTAGTAAAAAGTAGATGTAATTAAAATAAAATGTAAAAATTTGCAGCATACAATGTGAGATATGTTAACGGGATATTAAACAGAGCACTCCACGGAATTATGGTATGTCCTTAATAAGTTTGGACCATATTGTTCACTGCTTCGGGCACGTCACACAAAAGCTCTAAATTTCCTAAAATAATAATTGAAAAGATGAGTTCACTAATTTACTGACTGACTGACAGATTCAGCAACGCTCAGAGTAAAAACGACTGGCGTTAGGATCTTGAAAATTTATACCAGAGAGGTACGAACATGTACTACTTATGGAACCCTTAATACTGAGCGATTGGGAGATTCTATAACTCTAAATTTTTGTACGTAGATTTGTCTGTGATAGAAAGGCGAAGGGAAAAACATCGGTACGGAAAGAACTTAAAGGTACGAAATGTATTACTTATGGTACCCCTAATACGGAGATTCTATAACTCTAAATTTTCGGTACGGAAAGTACTAAATGGTTCATATTTATTATTAGTATTGGGCGGAAAGGATAGAACTAGAATTATAAAATTTGGAATGGTGGAGTATAGACTAGATGTACC